GACTATATATATATATATATATATATATATATATATATATATATATATATATATATATATACATACATATATACATATACATACATATATACATATACTCTAACACTGCCCAAACATATATATATATATATATATATATATATATATATATATATATATATATATATATATGTATGTATATATATATATATGTATATGTATGTATGTATATATATGTATATATATATATATACATATATAAAGAAAACATATTTCTAAATACATGTATTTAGAAACATAACACAATGTTTCACCTGTTTCCTTTAGTAACATGGTTATAAGATTCAAAAGCCATATGAGCAAAAGCTTGAAGCAAACAAAAAAGATTTTGTTTCCTCACATTTCTAATTATATTTGAAGAAAATCTAAAATAGCAGCTTTCAGTGGATCTGCAGTAATATGGAAATAGTTTGAATTAAAAGGAAAGAATACAAGAGGAGATAATTGTATCCATTCATCAACACACATCGATAAGGAAATGAAATGGACTCTTAAAAATGAGAATTGAATTTGGAATATTAATCATGTACGTAAAGAATGACATCATCGACACCGACAGAACGATAACTTTAGTCGGTCCATGTGGCCCCTAGCACCTTCGCCATGAAGCTATAGCGATCAGCAGCTTCATCGATCTATAGACATGGCATGAAGAAATCTACCCCTTAGCATATGATCGATAAGTCGAAGAAATAGTGAAGGCAGGAGAATGATACCATTTTCTGAGTAGGCCGGCCAGCTCCATGTCCTGCCTTACGGTCGATGCGGGCAATTATCGGGTTTGTCTGTGGACTGTTCACAACACTGGAGCATAGGACATATTGCATAGTCTGTTAATGAAGCAAAAAAGATTAATCACCACAAAATAATACCAACTAAAATTTACATATTGAAAAAAATTACTAGTGCAGCTTCAAGAGCTAAAAAGAACTACTTGCAATCTGTTTGGGACAATGCATCCTTTGCTTCATCGATCTATTGAAACATGCATGTGTACTCTTAGAATTTTGACTAACAACAGTATTGCATTAAGAATCTGAGAGATACAATACTGGCATAATATGTTTCCTCGAGGAATGGCAAATTTCAGAACTTGTAATCACACAACATATTTTTGTCTCCATGTTTCACATAGTGACAAGGCTGCTCAAAATGATTGGGGTTTGAGTCATGGAAACAATCTTTTTAATTGTTGGGAGAACTTGTAATCACACAACATAAAATCTTTTTTTTTTTAATTTGTTGTTAGTTCAATGTATATAGCTTTGCAAGACAATCCTGTTTCTTGTTGCTTAAGTGCACCAAAAATCAAATCAGAAAGATGTAAGCAATCAAACAAATTATCTTGAAATGAAGTATATATTGTATAAGATAAGCTCTTATTGTTAAATGCACTCTGACATATTTAGAACATATAGCTGGAAAAACAAGTACATAAGATAGTAGACATTTGATACTGCAAAAAAAAACTGCTATTTAAGGAAGCAACAAACTGCAAAGTCTGAACTCTGAACTACTTTGAGTTGGATAAATGGAAAACTCACTGCCAGTAATTTCAATGAGTGTAAAGGCACCACACGATCATCATGATCAGCAGTCAAAAGCATGGTTGATGGGTACTGACAAGATTGGTCGGAGCTTTTTTCCCAAGGTCTTTTTACATTGTGTAGCGGGGAGTATCTGAGAACAAGCCAATACATGTTGGAACACAGTGCATTAATTAAAACTTCAAAACTATGAAAGAAAATGGGGACTATCTAAAAGAGGATATGTGTCTCCAAATAGGACAAATGTACTTCCAATAATAACACAAAAATAAGAATGCTTAATAAGCCCTATAGCCAATGTCAGGCACCATTGTGACTCCTACATCATTCAAGACTAATAGAAGAAGAAAATGTTGGTTTCGTACTTGATAAGCCAATGGAACTCTTCCTCATTGTCTGAACAGCCATAGTCAGAAGTCCAAGCATGACCTGAATAACAAAATAACAAAGATTTATCAGTCAAGAAACCAACAAGATACCCGATACTACCAAGCAGTTGCAGAGCATTGGATTAACCAATAGTGAATTTGTGGAACCGGAGCATGTCCATAACACCAACATGAGCAAGAACACACCCGAAAAGGTCCGGACGCTGCCATTACAACTTTCAAGTCAATACTTGTAAAAGATAATAAACCAAGCAAGATAAGAACAAAAAATTCTAACGATATTCTAACAATCTTGACATGAAGCTTGCAGATATAAATTTAGATATTAAATTAGTGTTACCTGATTCATGCAAGCTGCAACAAGAAGCCCGCCATTGCTTCCACCCTCAATACATAGACGTTCAGGTTTGGTATAACCATTTGAAACAAGGAACTCAGCAGCAGAAATAAAATCATCAAAACAATTTTGTTTCTTGGAAAGTGATCCCGCTTTATGCCAGTCTTCTCCATATTCACCACCACCACGAATATTGGCTATACAGAAGATGCATCCCAAGTTCCTCGCTAGAACAAGACGAGCCACACTAAATGAAGGTGGAAGGCTAATGTTAAAGCCTCCATAGCCATACAGTAAAACTGGATTCGATCCATTAAGTTCAATATTCTTCTTTGACACGATAAACATGGGTATTTTGGTGCCATCCTCGCTAGAAACAAAAACCTGAGAAACAAAATAAATTAAAGGAACTGATTATCCAGCACTATGAATTTATCCTTTAATCTCATGGATTACCAAAAACTAAATGCACTCTGAGATATTTGGAGGACTTCTTTTTATGAAGATAATAAAAATCTATTCAAAGTTGCCTAGTTCCTGGATACAAGACCTAGTTATTTTCTTCACAAAATTTATCATCAAATAATAAATAAATCTTAGCTTTCACCTTAAAAGCAGTTGTCAAATATGTTGATCACAAGAACTTCAATGTAAAGTTAAATAAAATGTAAAGTTACCTGTTTAACCTCAAAATCTGTGCGATCAAACCCAGGAACAGAAATTTCTCGAAAAATCTTCATCTCTGGAACTTCAGATGCTAAGTTGCACCTGTAGATGATCCCTGGAGTGAGGAAGCTAGTGAAGCTAATGAAAATCTCACTGTCTTCACGCCTGCCAGAAATCCCAGAGACACTACCAACATCTAATGGTAAAGGATGTAGCAAGTTTCCTGTTTTCAAGTCCCTTATCTGCAGAACATGCTTGACATCACTAAGATAGCACACCAAAATCTGGTTACTGTTGACAGCATAAGCTGATTCTAACACATCCTTTTCATCCTCTGGCAGAATGTCACTCCACAATGCTGGCTTCTTAAGGTCTATCCTTACTAACTTATACTTTGGAGCTTCTTTGTTTGTCAACAAGGTAAACTCACCATCATCATTTGCCACCAAACTATAGCATGCTTCAAAGGTATCCACAAGTTTGACAAAAGGAAGCATTTCATTGCTCCCTTTAAAACCTTCAAGCCCATTAGAAAGTGAGGACAGGTCACAGTAATACAACTTATTGACAGGATCACAGCCTTCCTCAATATACAAAAGAACATACTGCAGAAAATTACAAACCCAATCAGCTCAAAAAACCGATGCAACAGAATAATTTGCATAAACTGTTCATGATGAAGCAATCAAGGACACAATTAAGCAGCAAGAGGGCTTGTGAATTATGAGCTGCCACATCACATGCTGATCACGACAAATCAGCACTTAGGATGAGCGATAGGCCAAGCTACAAAAAACCAGTGCAACCACGGTACATGAACCCCCACATCAATACTGTATTGACACTGACTAGAACTTCAAGCCATGAAAACAGTGAGAATAAAGTATGGTGGATATTTAGAAAATCAATTAACAATAATGGTCTGAACGTAGCTCCAGAGGCACAGTTTGCATGAAAACCTATTCGAGGCTTAATTCACGAATGCACGAGTTCTAGTAAGATCAATTACTTTATTCAAACTTGATCATAACATAATTATGCAATATTAGTTTTTCTACTCAAGTTCCAAGATGAGTCATCTTTAGCAAAAGTTAACAAACATTATTCAGATTAAATCCAGTTAGCCATAAAAACTAATTGCATGTATCAGATAAGCCTTATGCTTAGGTGACAAGATTAGCATTCAATTTACCTCTCTATTAATAACTTCATAAAGCATCTGTTCAAATAAAGTTATGGCTTTTGTTCTCATCCAAGTAAAGCAGATGACATCTTCAGCTGTTCCCTTTCTTTAGTATTATATTCATCATACAGTAATATTGCAAATATATGTTTTGCTGTTTTTGAAACTAATCTCTAACCAGTTTAAGAAGTAAAGATGGGGAATAGGTTGGAGGCAAATGTATTAACTGCCTAAGCAGTCACTATTCCCTGTGGCAGCAGGAAAGGAAAAAAAAAAAGGTCATGAAAATATAAAAATATGCAAAAAAGATGAAAAGTTCAGATAAAGATAAGAGCTAACTCACGGATCAGGCAACTGCCTAGGTAGAGTCTAGGAGGATCAGTGCTTGTAATTTTAACGCTACGTGCAGGTTTGTGTTTGACACTTTGACTACTAAATGATCGAATGCAGACAAGCATACTAATTGCCTGTTAGACAAATAAAACCAAATGCGGACAAGCAGTACCTAGCTTAAAACAATAAAATCGTTAATAAAAAATAACTAAAGACAATGATACTAAGAGTTAATATGGTAAAACAACAAAGCTATAAATCCCAACTATTTAGGATCAACAACATGGATCTTTTACCATCATTAGGATCCATAAAAAATCATATGTTTAGTTAAATTAATAGCATTTAAAACTTTATTTATAATTTTTATTAAAGTATCTTCCTTTACCTCTCCTCATTCAACTAATAATAATCGTTTCACCTCTTCTAACTACCGTATTTATAGGTTTCCGGAGCTCATATTCATACTATCTTAAGTAATTCTCTCTCATTTTATACACTATCGAAATGATACCTAATTGTTCACGAATAAAAGCATTTCTTTTCCTATCCTTCCAAATCACTCCATACATCCATCTCAACATTCTCGTCTCAGCAATAGAAACTTTTTGTATATATTGTTTCTTAACCGTATAAGACATAGATCCGTAAAACATTGTTGGTTTAACAATTATCTTATAAAATTTTTATTTTATTCACAAATATATCTGACGATCACACAAGACTTCTAACTACCCTCGCCATTTTAACCATCTTGTTTCTACTCTACGAATAATATCTTCATTAATCTCCTTATTTTGTTGTATAATTAAATCTAAGATAAGTAAATCTTTTAGTTAAAGAAACATCTTGCCCATCCAGCTTAACTATATCATCATATCTATTCCTAATATTACTAAAATTGTATCTGGTATATTCAATTTTAGTCTTAATTTAAAAACTTTTAGTTTCTAGGGATTGTATCTAGAACTCAAGTTTATAATTAATTTCATTTATTCTCATTAACTAAGACAATAAGATACAACACAGAAAATATCCTAGAAGGAATTTACTATAAGCAAATTGGAGTATAACCTTCTTTCTAATACAAGGAAACACGACACCTTCCATCTAGTAATAAGACAAACTAAGGGAGAGAAATTCACAAATGAAAAACCAAGGAACCAAACCAAGAAGAAAACAATTCCTCCTCTTTAGATTACTTCACTTAGTTTTTGCACTACACCTACACACCACCTTTGCACCAACTATGCCTTATATAGGCATAAAGTGGTTGCAGAAACCACCTACATGTGCATCTCATGAAGGAGATTGCAACCACCCAAGCGCACCTTGCACAAGAGTTTGCAACCATCCGAGAGCTCTTTGCATGGGAGGTTGCAACCATCTGAGCGCAACCTCGCACAGGAGGTTGCAACCGTTCAAGCACAACATTACGTAGGTGGTTGCAACTGTTGGAAAATCTAGGGCGACATGACATGCGTGGCGGAAGAACAGAAAAACAAAATCCCAGAATTCTTGCAGAAAAGAAGGTTTCATCATCGTGCAAAAGTTGGTGCGCAAAAACCCGCGAAACTAAAAAACTACGCATAAAAGAATTACCTAGGGAGATCGTATATCCCTGAAAACCTACAGATATGTGGAAGATGATGAAGGAGGTCAATTGTCCTCCTCTCTAGCGATGATCCACACGACAGGGGCTACGAAGATACTTCTCAAATCGCTGCCCAAAACTCTTCCTCGCGCACACCATGCAATCAAGAAGGGGCTGCCCCTTCTTACTGTCCACACGCCCTAAATAGGAGCTGTAGTATGAGGAAGAGAGGGAGAGGGGAGAATAGGAGGAGGCAGCCAAAAAGAACCTCTAGCCTATAGGTCTTTGGTTCCCTCCTATTTATAAAAGCCCCATATCAACTTAACCCTAATGGATCCTGCCATATTGAATACTTGATCTCCATCCAACTACCTAAGCCTCATTGATTAATGAGTCTCTACCAAATAATCTCTTATTAACTCTTATTAGATCTCATCCGTAGAATCCAATAATCCATGAGCTTATTAGATATCCAATAAGATAGGAGCTCTAGCGGATATCTCATATCTGAACCTCTACTCGTCGCAATACTTGTCATATGTGTGTGACCCTCTATGTCCAATATCGAGCTGGCCGTGAGTCATACCTGTCAGAACTCCTTCTGGCTCAGTGAATTATTATCTTCATAATAATTCACTCGACTCATCGACTGCGGACGTACTAAGCCACTACGCGTAGTCCCTAGATGATAAAGGGGAATCCAATCCTTTGGACCTATCTATCCTCGGTTACCGTGTATCTATAGTCCCTCATCCATCTAATACCCCAGAGACCGTATACCAGGCATGGTACTGTCAAGCCCATACAATTTCTACTCGAGTCTCACTCTAATCGGATTCTCCCGGAGAACTCTCTCTCTCTTTCTCTCAATCCGAATGACCCTGACCAGGGATTTGTTTGAGCAAGAACATATGGGATATTCTTCTCATGAACCGAGAGCATATGATCCTTTATCGACACTCAATAGCCCTCGTAAGGTTGGCTACCACTCCCGATGATCGACTGTGCTAGATCTGGAACCTCCGGACCTATAAGTCCAGTATCAAAGAGTGGAGTACTCATACAAGACATCTTTGGTGTCTTAAGTCTAAGAACCAGATACACCACTGAGACGACAGAATCGCTGTTTGAAAATAAGGCATCATCAACCATCCAACATTCCGTGAGTGGATCAATCAGTGAACTCATTCCCTAATGAGCACTTACACTGTATCCTTAGTGTCCCAACACAAGCAGTTATGAGACCAGCTACATCCATCATATGAACGGGTATACAACACACCAATCTGTCCGGTTATCTCGATGTCTCTCTCGAGCAACCTATAACCGGAATTATTTAGAATCTATGTTTAAAGGCGAATGGGTCTCATTATCGTAATCTCATCACGATCTGATTCTCATTGCACAGATCCATGAACATCACAATATATTCATGCAACAGAATATAAAGTGATAAAATTTCAAATAATAATAATAAGCAAAAAGACTACGTGTCAAGTCACACATGTCATCACTCACGTGATTGTCTTACAGGGTACCTATGACTAGCAACAACCACCCACGTGGCCAGACTTGGTCATGTTAACTAAGTCCTCCTTTTTTTTTTTTTTAATGCTTCACAATCTCTTACTTAAAATAATAAAATAAAATCCTATATCTTTGCTTGTCGAGTCATACTGCTTACATTTCCACCAGGCCATAAGAGGATTTGCTCCATATAGACTAGTCAATGTTTGATTGGCTTTGTCATAACATCTGTTGTATTATCTATTGTGAGAAGCTTAATGTTTGCTATGATATATTGTAACACTCTGATTAGTCCCACATCAAAAGTGGAGAAGACCTTATAAGGGTCTGATGAGTATTCTATTGTCAACTTCAGCTTTCATTTTGACCAATGGTTTGAGTTCAACAAAGTGATGGGCCAATTAGCCCATCAATCCTAAATCGTGACAAATGATATTAGAGCCGACCTAGTATTGGGGCATGGTGAAAAGCTCGAGTACGAAAAAGTTACTCATGGATGAAGTCAGATGACTCGTTACAGCATAGAGCCACCATTAGGCTATGACTCACATGCATTATGCTATTGTTTGATCTAAGCTATGCTGACCCTTGACAAGAACGTTAAGCCCTTGAATGGGAGAGATTGTAACACCCTGATTACTCCTACATCGGAAGTGAGCAAGATTAAAATTAGCTTATAAGAGTCTGATAGATGCATTACTGTCAACTTCAGCTTAAGAATTTTAGCCAATGGTTTGGGTTTAACGAATATGACAGGCTAATTAGAACATCAGGTTCGGGTCGTGACACATATACTAAACCAAATATTGCAAAAGTAGTTGGTACGATCAGTCAGTTTATGACAAACCTTGGTAAAGAGTATTGGAATACAGTTCAAAGAATTATAAAATATATCGGAGGGACCTCAGATGTATGCTACATTATGTTATGGAGAATCAAATTATACTATCAAAGGGTATGTTGATTTTGAATTTATAAGCGACGTTGACAAAAGAAAATCCACTACAAGCTATGTTTACCTTTGCAACGGAGCAGTGCATTGGGTTTCCAAGATACAAACTATCATAGTTTTATCTACTACAAAAGTATAGTACATGGCAACTATAAAATCTTGAAAGGAGAGAATTTTGATTACAAGGTTAATGAAGGAACTCAAGCATAAGCAGGGAATATTCTTTTATATTGTGACATTTATAGTGCCTTTCATATCACAAGGAATCCAAGCTTTCGTTCCAATTCAAAGCACATAGGAGTCTAATATCACGTCGTTTGAAAAGTAACCGAAGGCGGTACCATGGATATACAGAAGTTCGACACAATGGACAACCTAGCAGATATTATGATAAATCCAATCAACACTAACAAGTTCATACGGAACAGATCCTCAAAAAAAAGGGAGGGCTTGGTCATGTAAGTTCATACGGAACAGATCCTCAAAAAAAAGGGAGGACTTGGTCAACATGACCAAGCCCCATGACGTGGGTGGTTGCAACCTCCGACACAGGTGGGCATGGGTGGTTGCAACCTCCCATGCAAGGTGTGCAGGCATCTGCAAGCACTTTGATGCCTATGTAAGGCACCAATTGTTGCAAAGGTGGTGTGCAGGTGCACTGCAAAAGTCAAATGCTCAAGTCATCCTGCATAGGAGTGAAAAACTAAAGAGAGAAGACAGAGATGAATAAAAAGAGAGAGAAAAAAGAAAGAATTATTTTCTCCTCAGTTTGATTCCTCATTGGTTTTCATTTATGAGTTTCTCTTCCTCCGTTTCGTGTTTCTCTTTGTACTAGAGACTGTGAACTAGATGGGAGGAGAAAGGGGCATGGTGATATCCATTCCCAAGACCACTAAATTATATCACATTATCATCATCCCCGAACTGGATTCTGTTGGTCAGAAAGGGGCATCGCCGATCCATGTATTTCAACAGTGGTCATTGGATACACCAACTAATCCTGGGATTACAGTGGTCATTGGATAGGTAAATCTAACTAGAAACTTCAACAGCATCCAACAATAGCTTTAAAGATGGTACAACGAATGTAAAAGATCTAGAGTTCAAGATAAGCAAACTAGACAAGATGATATAGACCAAAAGATGGCATTTCGACAAATATAACACATATATTCGTGTTAATAGTATTGATGAAAAATTAATTGCAAAGTAGGAACCAAAACTAAAATGGTGGCAAAGAATGCAAGTAAAACAAGTAAAACTGAAGCAAGGATTGATTATCATATGCAATAATTTTACAACAATGAAGAGATCACTAATACCTAATGGAGGAGTACAACTTCACAATTTACGATAATGCACCATGTTACCTTGCCATCATTAGTGACATAACTATCAAAGATATACTTTGGATGCTCCGGATCCCTCCAGCATAATATATCCTCTGACTGATCAGTGCCTAAGAAATGATAGTAGAGCTCATGATTCAGATTGATATTTGTCTCCGTCCCAGCATCCAATTCAACCCCTTCTCTATGTATCATCAGCAACAAACACAATTAACAACCAATAGGACTGTCGCCACAAAAGCATTTTCTTCTTTAACAAATGATAATAACATGATGATAATAAGGGATTCTGCCACACTTACTTGGGAGACGGATACCGACCATAGAAGAAACCTTTTCCATCAAGGGTCCAGATAATTGATGAGAATTTTACCTGCAATGAAAAAAATGAATGAATTGGTTTTAAGTTCTTTAAACCAAATCAGAGAAAGCAGTGTTTAAAGAGAGAAAGCAGTTCATAATGTGCAAGGGAAAAACAATCTCACCCATGATATGGTATCAGGCTCTGGTGTCTTGCTATCAACCCTCATCACCTTGATCGTAACCCAATCACTTCCACTTGCACTAAGCCCATAAGCGAAAAACTGCCCATCCTTGCTAACAGAAGCCATCGAGAGAGCCACTGTACCATCCTCGCTAAGTTTGTTAGGATCCAAGAGAACCTCTGCCTCTCCATCCAAGTCTTTCTACAGCAAAGCAACGAGTTCAAAGTCATAATACAAAACCATCCCCATGAAAGCACTGATCAAATCCAAATGATTCCACAAGAAAATAATAACTAACAAATTCATCAAAATAAAGCAATGTACGAAATTCAACGCTTAAACTGATCATTGTTCTCCGTCCCAACAACTCCACAACATTGGCAACTCTATTATAAATTATAGAAAAAAAGACACGAAAATAGTGAGAAATTTGACCCTCTGATCCATTCAACAGGCATCTTGGTCAAAACCTGGAATCCGTATCAAAAATAGAATAATGATGAGAACCCACTAAACACCCTTCAAAGTCGATCTACAAGTACAAATGATGAACTTTTGTTATTCTAGTTTTCCCAATGCTTTCCCGACCACAACAGTAAATATAGAAGGGGGAAAACCCATTGGAACCACAACCGAGATTCAATTTGGATGGGGTTCGGCAGCCATCGAAAGGCAAGGAAAGCTACCTGAACATATAGAACACTCTGCGCCTGAAGGCCCGTGTTATGATAGTAGAAATACTTTCCACCTCGCTTGTAGGGCGTATCATACCGGGGATGATCAAACAGCGCCGTTATCTGCCCTCGTAGCTTCTCTCTCTCCTCGCACCTCGCCAGAACCGAGTCCGTCAGCGCCACCTGCCCCTCCACGAACTCCTTCACCTCCTCCGCATCCGGATCCTCCAACCTACGTCCGAGGCCCCAAAGATTCAATGTTTAAGAAAAAGATTCGGTTTTTAGGCAAGAGGTGGTGCGGGGATAACCATCGGTAGGGATCAGCGACGGGAACGCCGTGGTAGTCGTCGACGACGGACTCGTCCCGCCGGGCCGGCGGGTATTGGAGCAACGGGAGAGCATCAGAGGCTGCAGGGGAGAGAAAGTTCATGGTGGCGGCGATGGGACGTCCGAGAACAGTACGACGACTCAGAGGAACGTGGCGCACATGTGGACCGGAGTTTAAGGGGAAGGGGGCCGATTTAAGGGTGCGGGAGATGGCGAACCGGGCGGTTCTGGGGGCGGTCGGGAACGTAGAAATTGGCGGGATGGGGTGAAGGTGGTGACGCCACGGTGTTGCCAAGGATCTTGCCATCTGCTACGGCGGAAGGTGGAATTGGACGGCGAGATGGGCAGTTTGGATCTGATTCGGGAGAGGAAGATGGAATTTTTGTGGCGGTGGCAAAAATGCAATGAGAAAGTTGGAATTTTTTTTATTTTTTTATGCCACAATTTTGCATAATATGCTCTATAATATTTAAAATTTTAATTATTTTTAGCATCTATAATATCGATATAACAGTGGTGCGTATGATCTATTTATCAATGATTAAATGTTTTAAATATCATTCAATAATTTTTTTATGAATATAACAATTATTTGAGTAGATAATATATATATATATATATATGAAAATTTTAGTAATAAATCCCAATAAGTTTTGGGTATTATTCGTTAATAATAAATTAAATGATCGGGGACTGCCATCGGGATATTTTGATCAGACGGCTGTGATTTATTTCTTTCACGCTTGTATCCCACTATCGACTACTATCCCCCGTCTCAGTTCTAGGGTTTGAAGACACTCCTCTCCAAAAGCCTCTCCTTTTTCCTCCCGACACTGCTTCATATAAACCCTAATGGCTTCCTCCCCTCCCTCCTCGCCTCCGCACCCTTCGAAGAAGGCCAAGATGTCGTCCTCCGCCACCACGTCCGACGCCGACGAGGACCCTTCGTCCGCCCCCTTCGCCGCCGGCGAGCCCAGGCGGCGGTACAAACGGCGCAAGGTGGCCATTTTCCTCGGCTACTGCGGCGCAGGGTACCAGGGCATGCAGAAGAACCCGGGCGCCCGTACCATCGAGGGCGACCTCGAGGAGGCCCTCTTTCTCGCCGGCGCCGTTCCGGAGGCGGACCGCGGCCTCCCCCGCCGTTTTGATTGGGCCCGCTCCGCACGCACCGACAAGGGCGTCAGCGCCGCCGCCCAGGTCGTGTCCGGCCGCTTCTATGTAGACCCACCTGGCCTCGTCGCTCGCCTCAACGCCCATCTCTCCGACCAGATCAGGGTCTTCGGATTCAAACGGGTCACCAACTCCTTCAACGCCAAGAAATTCTGCGACCGCCGCCGGTACGTGTATCTCGTCCCGGTGTTCGCCCTTGACCCTAGCGCGCATCCGGACCGGGAGGCCGTGATGGCGAGCATGGGGTCCGACAACGAACTCGCACGCTGCTTAGAATGCTCAGAAAGGGGGCGTAAGATCCCTGGTCTCATGGGCCGCTGGGCTGGGAGTTCCATTGCCCAGAAAAGAGTTGATCTTGCAGCTGATGGATCGGCTGATCAGACTGTTGGTGTCGCCTGTTTCAGTCTGGAAGAAAGTGATAAATCTGAGGCGAATAAGCTAGAAATTTTTGATCTTGGCAGTGGTGGAGTTGATGATGAGCAGCATGATTTCTCCATTATGATTGCAGAGACTAACTCGGCTAACATGGGTAGAAATGAAGTGGAGGCCGGCAAACTTGTATCTGCTGCAACAGATGCTGTTGCTCCTGGTAACATGAATCCTGATGCTACAGTAGATCCAGTGGCTTCCTATGTGGAAGAATATGGTAAGCTCAGTAATGAGGCTATCACAATGAAAGAGAATTCTACTATGGAGCCGAGTGCTTCTTTAGAAAACCAGAGATTGGAACCTATAGTTGCTGATAGAACTAATGGAGAGCAAGTGACTGTCAAAAGCAAGTTTTGTTATGGGGATGAGCAGAGGGAGAGATTTAATAGCGTACTGAAGCATTATGTGGGAACTCACAACTTCCATAACTTCACAACCAGAACTAAGGCTGAAGATCCCTCTGCTCGTAGATATATTATATCCTTTGATGCAAATCGTGTTGTCTGTATCGAGGGGATTGAATTTGTCAAGTGTGAGGTTGTAGGACAGAGCTTTATGCTCCATCAGATCAGGAAGATGATCGGCCTTGCAGTTGCAGTGATGAGGAACTGTGCACCTGAGTCACTTATGGATATAGCCTTGAAAAAGTATGATCTTTTTATCCTCTTGTGTGTATATCAACTTTATGCCGTGGTCATGGGTGATTAATTTGGCTTTTGTTGTTCAGGGATGTAAATATCAATGTTCCTACGGCCCCTGAAGTTGGGCTTTACCTGGATGAATGCCTATTTACATCATATAACCAGAAATGGAAGGATTCGCATGAGGTATTGACCATGGAAGCTTATGCTGAGGAAGCTGAGGAATTTAAGATGAAATATATATACCCTCATATTGCCTCTATGGAGCACAAGGAAGGAGCGGTTGCACTGTGGCTTCACTCTTTGAACCAACGTAATTACCCAGATTTCTGTTTTATGGAGACAAGTCGTGAATGTGCCAGTGCCACCAGTAAGGATCAAGCGGATAACTCGGGAGAGCAACTCTTGTGAAAGGGGATTGGCTGCCACTTTTTTTTATTATGAGAAAAGTTTTTTTGCGCTATATAATTTTCGCACAGAATTTTATTTCCCTTGGCTATCCTTTGTTTCATTTTAATGAAAGTATTTCAACTATAGCCATGGACATGTAATAGCATCGTTGGAGGTGTCTTAGATGTATGAACCATGAAGATTTATCAATCATACATGGTTCTCTTAAGAGATCATCTAACATGTTTCTTCTCTTGGGCAAATTTGATGCAATGATAAGCTGATGAAACTTTCAGACTCATAATAATATCAGTTCCTTAGTTACATTAGAATCGAGGGTGATATTTCTCGATCTCCATGTAGCATTGTTTTGACTAGATTGCAATTGATTTGTGCACTGACTAGTTAGCCATGGTTTCTTCTGAACATTTTAAAGGATATAAGACTTGTTTCTGCTATTTGTGCACCAGACAGAACTCTTCTGGAGAAGACCCTTCTATAATCCTTTGTCATGAAGAATCTCTTGCCTTTTAATGTTGAAGGATGCAGCTTTGAAGGACTTACAGTATAGTCGTTATTGTAGTTTTTGGGTATTTCAACCAATTTGGGGCTCGTAAAATGGACATTGTGATTCATTGATTTGATTATCTTCATCATTGTTATATCTTCTAGAATGATGAAATAATGAGATCCTACTAAAATGTGCTGCAGTTAGAAAGAAAATACAATTTTTTTTTGTGAAAAGAAATTAATTGAGGGAAAATTAATTATATTCTTTACATACTTCCCTAATCATGTATTTGAAGTCCTACCCTCATAAGCACTCCCTTTGTTTTTGGCACTTGACCTTACCATGTACCAGCAGTGACAGTAATCAGATTGTCAATCTACACCAGAAAAAGAAACTTACCTCTGGTAGAATCTCCTCAGCTCGCAATCTCATCTCCTCAGGCCCCTCAGAACTGATGCTCTCGTACTCTTGCTCGCAAGAGAGAACCTTCGGTTTAACTCCAAATGTATGTTAGGTCCACAAAGCAGAGCATTGACTACGATGGATCTCCTCAAGCACCGGATAGAGTTAGTTTCAAGGTCCCCACCCTCATCCAGCAACGGAGAAAAGATTTATTTTCCTGTGGTGGCCCAATCAAAGTCAAACTATAGATGTTGCTTGGTCTTTGCCAACTGATCCATTATACTTGGTCACGGAGAAAAGATTTATTTTTCTCAGTCGAGATAAAAAAAATGCTGTGTTGGGTGACTCTTACGAAGACCATTAATAGCAGATTAATTATATATTACTTTTAATAGTTAATTATAAAAGTAAAACATCTAGATCCATTTATTCTAACATCATTCGTTTAACCAATGAAAACATAAAAGAGCGAACGATATTGATGGTAACGAATGACGATGTAAGGGTCGCACATAGATGCCTCGTAGCCCTCAATAATGTTATCATCCGTTATCACCAATGTCATCCGTAATCATCAACTAAAATATTAAAGATTATCTTTTTACTCTTATTTTTTATAATTTTATTAATAAAATCAATAACGTTATGATAAATGAATCTAGATGTTTTAAATATAGACATCGTCATTATAACAATGAAGTCATTGGCAAATTGAATAATATTAATCACATACACATTTGCCCTTTAACATTGTTTTGAAAGTTCTAAGAAATAAACGCAGTTCTTTTTCTTCTCCTCCTGCGTCTCATTTCCTTCTTCTCCCTTCTTCCTCCATACCATGTCTGATTCCTCCATACCATATCTCTCCTTCCTGCCCCTTTCCTTCTTCTCCCTTCTTCCTCCATACCATATGTCGGTATAACTGGATCTGTACCAGTTCGACCATTAATAGGTACGGATAGCATTTATACTTCTCCTTTCACTGTATTTCCAATGGTGATTCTTGAATCTCCACTGCTGTTTACACCTTAGAAGCACTCCAATGTTCAAGCTGTACAGGAAAATAAACAATCCACGGATCAAAATAACAAAAAATGAATCTTATAATCAACGCCAACTGTGATCAATACAAACACTGTTCTAAGTCTCTCGAAGGTTTCTAGCATAATTCTCTTTTTATTTCGTGGGCAGATTCGATAAATAAATAAAAAACCCAAGATTAACTGATTGTACAAACCAACCACTAATAAAATATTTTCGACCAAGAAATACTGTTTTTACAGAAACAGCTCCACATTAGTACCTTCTCTGCATCTCGCATTGTTAGCGAAATTAGTTATTGGCATCAACCAAGCTCCTAACTACATATGGCAGAATTCCACCATGGCCGTAGTATGCTAGCTCCACCTATGCCATCAGGAAGCATCGTCAATAACCAAAGTACGACCTACCCCGAATATGACCAGCATAAATGTGTGTTTAGCAGTTAATCATCAGAGCACTTGTTTTAGTACCTCAGTGTCAAAGCGAACGGTGCATGTGAACAATTTGCCAGTATCTGTCGTGACTGTGACATCTTGTCCTGGTTTTATATCACTCACATTGCTCGGCAGGTTGATGGTGTACCGTTCATGGCCTGTCAAGCCAAGGGTATCCGCATCTTCCCCTGGCTTAAAACACAAGGGGACAATTCCCATGCCGACTAGGTTACTGCGATGGATTCTCTCAAAGCTCTTTGCTATCACTGCTTTGACACCCTACAACCATGAAAGTGTTCCAGTGATATTAAATATGGGGAACACTAGAAAAAGACGGCTAGAAATACTAATAACTACAAACATAAAAGAACTGACCTGTAGCATTGGGCCCTTTGCAGCCCAATCACGAGAACTTCCGCTTCCATACTCTGCACCTGCCAGTATGATAGTATCATGACCTTCATCTTTGTATCTCTGCAGACAAAAAAGTATAAAATTTAGGTTAAGGAGAGCCAATTCCTGCATGATTTTGAACAGAACATACATGCAGCTTCATGCAGCGGTTGGCAATTTTTTGTGTAACTCGACACAAGCTATAAGCAAATGTAGCAACTAACCATGGCTGTGTCAAACACAGAAAGTTTCTCCCCTGAGGGTATGTGAATGGTTTTGGGACCAACTTCTCCTTTCAAGAGTTTATTAACAAGGCGGATGTTTGCAAATGTGCCCCTTGCCATGACCTCATCATTTCCACGGCGACTCCCGTAGGAGTTGAAGTCTTTTGGGTCAACACCACGCTCTGTCAAGTACTTGGCAGCAGGACTGTCCTTGTGAATGCTTCCAGCAGGTGAAATGTGGTCTGTTGTGATACTATCACCAAAGTTTAGCAAGCAATAAGCATCTTTCACAGGATGTGGCCCAGGAGGAGACATTGTCGTGTCCTTGAAATAGGGAGGTTCATGAATGTATGTCGATTTAGGATCCCATGCATAGAGAGTACTTGATGGCACTGATAGCTGATTCCACATGGGATTCCCTTTTGTTATTGCCTCATATGTATTCTTGAACATGTCTGGCAGCACACTAGATTGTACTACCTGAAGAAACAGACAAGAAATTACAACACTACCCTTCTGATAACAAGTCTAACGAAAATGAGGATCAAGGAGTGGATACTGTACATTTGCTATCTCTTCATTTGAAGGCCAAATATCCTTGAAGTAAACCTTCTTCCCATCCTTTGAGGTCCCTATAGGTTCCTTTTCAAAGTCAATGTCAACCTGCAAACAATCGGAAGTTGGCTGTCATGAAAAGCTAGCACAGCTACTTTGGATGCCGAAATATATATTCAGTTTTAGTATATCAATGTCCCTATATTTAATCCGTCTTGGTGCATAACCCTTCTTCAATGAGATCTTGCTGTATAATTCTTATTGTGAAAATCTCAAAAAACAATTTAACCATATTACAATGATATTGGATAAGCGTATATATGTTTTTCATTAGTGAACTAAACACTACATTAGGACTATTTTTTATAAAAGCTTAGTGAATACCTAGTAGTGCCCTAATTTGTAATTTAACTGACTATATTGTCTTTTCAATCATTCATTCTTAGCAGATTGATGTGCTTGGAGACGGTATCATCTAATTGGAAAGACAGATTGATACCTTAGGACCCACACCTCTTCATGACTTAATAAGTTCATGCATTGATATCTAGAAATGATAGCATGAAGGTATAAAACCATTAACTTATTGAATTGCATGCCTTTATTAGTAAGTTATTTATTTTCAAGCAACATTAATGTGAAACAAGAACTTAACTAAGTATATGATCTTTTACAGATCTCTATGATAACAAAAGATCCATATAGCCGACCTCAAATAGTTGAGACTTACAACTTTGTTGTTGTTATTGTTGTATCAATGTGTAATAAGAAAAAACTTTGTTTGCTGCTTTTCCAGGAAAAGGAACCAGTAACTGGCAAATGGAGGTCAGGATGAATACCGTGCCAGCAAGAGAATAAGCTACCACAAGGGGAGGTGATGCAAGATAATTTGCTCTGGTTAAGGGATGTACACGACCCTCAAAGTTCCTATTTCCAGACAATACAGCAGCAGCGACTATGTCTGGAAGTAGAACACCAACTTCAGACTTCATTTCTAATATCAAAAAAACATATGCTCAAACTAAATAAATAAATGAACATTACCATTCTCAGATATAGCAGCTGATACTGCTTCATCGAGGTCTCCAGAATTCCCAATGCAAGTAGTGCAGCCATACCCAACTATATTGAAGCCCAGCTGGTTTAAATACTTCTGCAAACCACTGAAAAATATGTTCCAGATTTAATTTTTGGGATATCAAACAAGTTTAAAATCATAATAATCATCCAGCTGTTATGCTCTTTGAAGCTACAACCTCTTCTCTAGGTATTTGGTCACAACTCCAGAACCAGGAGCAAGACTAGTCTTGATCCATGGTTTCACCTGACACAAAATGACATGAACCATTAGAGCAAACCACCCATTGGCATGTGGATATATGAACTGTATCAACTACAGATCTTATGTTACATTAAATATGAAAACACACTTTCGTAAACTGGGCTATCTTTATCGCATGTGTCTTTAAAGTGAAAGTGGAATTCATGCTTTGTTTTAAGTATAGCAAGGGAATGCAGTAGTCAACCTCAAGGCCCAGCTCACAAGCCTTTTTTGCAACCAAAGCAGCTCCAAGCATTACACTAGGATTTGATGTGTTTGTGCAGCTGGTAATTGCAGCTATGACAACATCACCATGTTTTATCTGGGTAGTCGTACCATGGAAAGAGAATTCTGCAATCTTGTCCTGGGACTCTTTTGGCACAGCAAAACCCTATAAGAAACCTAATATATTATTTTACACATTCTTGCTTTCGGATATAAAGAACAATGACCAACATGTAATTTTGTGATATCTGATAATCTAAATGGATAAATATGTAAAGAATGTGAGATCATTGGCATATGGGTTATCTGATAACCAGATACAGGTAACTCCTCAAAGTCACAAGTTCTGCAACTTCTCCCAGTCTTTATCAATAGCTCTGTTTATCAATTATAAGCAAGTAGCAAATAATAATAATAATGAAAGGTTCCTGATCATTGGCATAAATTACTAGTATTGTCCAGGTAAATGTAAATATTAAGGCCTTCTCTTAAGATGCCAATAGATGGTGTAACATTTCTATAAAATCTAGAAAAAAATTTCAAAGCAAAAGCCACTGAAGTTTTTCATCTTAATGAAATAAATTTTAATATACTATGGCTGATATCTGCCTCAAAAGGACTGGCTCTAGGAACAACTAAAGTTCTAAATTGCAATATTGCATAGTCTCCAAGTTTGATACTTGCCTTTTCCATGTGCTCTTTGTTGGAAAGAAACACTAAACTGTAACTTTTCAAATCCATGAAATAAGGATGATACATCCATTAAAACTTGCATAATCTTTTATGCTACATCACGTAAACTGAACTATGAGTACCTTGAATCCAACTTTGTTGTCCAAACAAGATTGCCAATCTGCTTTCATTTCCTTCAAAGGAACTCGATCATGAGGCCTGCATGGTAGATAATTTTTAAGAGGCTAAAAAAGGATTCTATTATATTCAGCTGGCAAATAATAGCTGCAAGCCTGTTGATGGCTTCAACTTGAGTCCAGGGTTCCTGACCTCTTAGGTCCTGATACACATGGTTCTACATCTCCCAGATTCAATTCCAAGTAGGATGAATACACTCTTTCAGTTTGTGGCTGTATAGGAATTCTCAGTATGAAAACAACAATCAAGTTCAATGTGAAGTTGCCGACTAGAGTCGAAGAAAGTTACCTGGCTGTAGTCAACAAACATCTTATTAGCCTGTAAGTAGGATTCTATCATGGCCACCTAAGGGTTGCAAAGAGGATTAGAGTGCATTGAGAAAAGTCTTTACGACAATTGGATAATAACAGAAACTTACAGTATCATCACTTCTTCCAGTCAGTTTCAAATATTGAAGTGTGACATGATCAACAGGGAAGAAGCCCATAGTTGCTCCATATTCTGGCGACATATTTGCAATAGTAGCACGATCCGCCAAAGAAAGTCCACTCATGCCTTCCCCTGTATACATATATTATCACAATTCAACAAGAGGGAAGGGGTAGAGAGGTAAAAGTACACTCAGCATGTTAGAAAACAACATAAAAATTCAATAACCTCGAGAAGAAAAAATTGAGATTCGTTAGTCTATTTACCATAGAACTCGACGAACTTCCCGACGACACCATGCTTCCGAAGCATCTGGGTCACTGTCAAAACCAAGTCTGTAGCTGTCACGCCATTCCTCAATTTCCCAGTAAGTTTGAAACCAACAACTCCAGGCAGCACCATACTCATCGCCTGTGCAATGACAAAGAAAAAAGATTTTCGACAAAGATTGAGAAAAATATTTTGACCCACACACGATGTATATGTATAAATAAATCATAGTTGCAAGCAAGTCCAGTCTAGATGTAGCTACACATTTAAACACGAAAAAAATATCAAAAATGCTGATATACCATGACCAAATGTGTAAAAGATTTAAGAGACACTATAGCTGATAAGCAATGCATCATGATTGTCTAACTCCTAGCAATTTGGTTAATATTTACCCCAAAACAATCAGATAGACCAATTTCTCTCAAAACTGGGTTTGTGAACAACACTAATTAAGACACAATGACAGAACTTAACGCAAACCCAGAGCCCCAAACAAATAGTGAATGATGGCAAGGTTGATTGAGCTTTGATATTTTTTTGTTGCACATGAACAAACGCAAAGACATTTTAGTAATAGCAATATTTCACTGCATGGTTACTCATAAAAGTCTTCCCATTGTTAGAAGTTCCTATCATATGTGACATTAAAGATATCAGGCTTCAAAGTTTCTGGATAAAGCAGGGAACCAAAGAAGCACATTTCTCTTGTTGCATGATTAAGAAAATGCATCAAGGCATTTAGCCATGAAGAGAAGGGGGACCGCATTCTCACCAATCATGTTTTAAACTTTAAGCTAATGACCAGGAAGAGAATGGTCTCACCATTCATGTTTTAAATCTTAAACTAGTCACTTGAAACCCCGTCTTCCGGTCGCTACCATTGGCCAACCTACACCAAACACATCTATTTTTCATATTTCAAGAAGACAAGGCAATGCGTTCACCACGAAGGGATTGACAACAATTTTATTATTTGGTCACTTTTGTGGGATTTCCTATTTCTTCCAGTCTCTTAGGCCTCTCATGCTACCCTGATCATTTCAATTCGAAGAGGCCTGCAATCCCAGCAATTAAAGCCATAAACAGCAAATGTACATATGCATTAATAAAGACAAATGGGTTAGCTGCTAATCCTTTTAAAGTAAAAATTAATTACAAGAAGTCCAAAGTACTGCAACTAAGAAAGATGCAATATAAAGCATTTTAGCAAATTGATTGTAGGTAAAATGAAAGAGATAATACTGCTGAAAAAATCTAAAAAAATTCTCATAAAACCAGAACAATCTGAGGGGAAAAGGAAATGGTGTTCCAATAAATTATCAAGGCTAGTGGAGTTGCAAACAGATTATCATATAGGGATTTCTACATTCCTAACAAAATAAACTTACCTGGCCAAGCATTGCAGCTTCTGCTTCTATTCCACCAACACCCCAGCCAGCAACACCTAATCCATCTATCATTGTCGTGTGCGAATCAGTGCCAACCACACTGTCAGGGTAGAGCATACCTCCACTGTTAAAAACAACACGACCAAGATATTCTAAATTTACCTGCAGAGGACAATTTAAACTTAAAAAAGTACAAGAGAAGATTGAAAAACAAATAAAACAATTTCTCATGATCAATAAGATACAATTACCTGGTGAACAATACCAGACCCTGGTGGAACCCCAAGCATGTTATGGAAAGCACTGGAACCCCACTTCAGAAAACCAAATCTTTCCTTATTACGATGGAATTCAAGTTCCATGTTAGCCTGCAGAGCGTTTTCTGATCTTGCCACATCAACCTGAACTGAGTGATCAATAACGAGATCCACAGGAACCTGCATGCATCAGTTGTGCACACTTATTCAAGCTGGTATAATAAACCCAACATTCTGGATTGTATCTCTCGATAAGATATATAAACTTATCAAACAGAAGGACTCTGAAATATACTTCATGGTTATGAATGTCTGATTCTATCATGACATTTATTATAACCCTTACTTTTGTTCGATGTACTTCAAATTTCTAAGTTCACAGGTCCATTATCTTATGTTCGTAAAACTAAATGCAACATAGAAATTACAAAGACCTCTTATATTTCATGATGATGTCAAAAAGCATATTATGTCAAAGGAAGACATTTAATGTCCTTGACTTCTTTTATAGGCATCATCATTAACCAATTTTGATAAGATCAAAGCTCAGATGATCTTGTGTCCTTGTGTTCGCTAAACTAGTCAGCAAGAAGAAATAGTCTCAACAAAAGGTTCTAATCAGAAGCTAGTCCAACATCTAGAGAATTCTTAGTTTAACAATCCTATTTTTTTTGTTAGTTGTTGATCTTGCATACGTTTTTTCCCATATCCTAGAAAAAACAAATTTTCCGAAATATCCTTCATACGTTTAAACAGAGATATAACCAATGCAAGTCACACTAACAGTAAAATTTAAATGATATAAAAAATTAGGCACACAATTTTCAAGGACTTTTCAACAGGGAAGATGAAGAAAACCGAGATTTACCCCAACGGCAGATATTTTCAAGGATAGTTCCGAAGCGTTCAAAGGAAATGAACTATATAATTACTATTTTAAATTTACACTTACTAATGGATTGATTTTATTTGGATCACTTCCGAGCTTCTTCATAGCATCTCTCATGCACGCAAGATCAACTACAGCTGGAACACCAGTGAAATCCTGACAAGCAAATTGAAAGACAAAAGAAATGTTGCACCATTAGTGGCATCATGAAGAGAGCAAAGTCTTGACCAACTTAGATAGCTATACATGGACGCCTGTAACAAACAAGACATTTGTGAAACAAAATATTACACATGATGAATTTGTCAAAATTGCATAACCCACAATCAGATATATGATAGACAACAAGGGTTGCAACAAATTAAGCTTCAGTTAACTGCACAGAGAATATAATAGGTTAATTCAATAGACACATAAAGTTCTGTAATCAATTTTCTATACTTCATTTTCAATCAAATATGTATAAATTTAAGCCCACATGAGTGGGGAGAAAGATTATCCTTTTCCATGGAATAAGATGAACAAATGGAACCACATCATCATCATACAAGCGACTTCCTCCACTATTCTCTGTCTCCCTATGCCTAAGTCGACCAATACATTGATGCTTTCTAAACCTTTTTATGCAATAGCAACAGTGTTAAGTTGGGGGTGTCTGAAAGCTCTTGAGACCTAGTAAACATTGTTCTCATTGTTATTTATCACCTTGTAGGAATCCATAACGACACATTGTAATTGAGGTCAAATCTTCTCATCCCCAATGTCATCAAAAGTAAATAATTTAAATATTGTCCAATTTTACATAGATTTGTTTTACTGGTTAGAAACCTCCAATGATCATCATAATTCATATCCATATTCAACAAATTAGCAAGACCTACACTGAGTTGATAGAGATATTGTAGTATCCAATTCAAGAAGCCACATGCTACAAGTAGCACCTATACATTAAAATATTTAGAATTTTATGAGTTGCCTTTTAGCTTTAGATATTAAAGTTACTCAGACACTAAGGTATACAAAGATCGATTGATTCATGAATGGTGTAATTACTGGAGAAATTTAAAAAACACATACAGAATCCAGTTCACAAAACTCCTGACCTTGCAAAGTCAGGGAAGGGGCAAAGAAAGGCATGCTTAAAATAGAATTATATCGTTTTTATGCATAAGATCTTTTCAAGAGAATTATATATAGCAATTTGGCTGAGTGTTGCATGTCTGAAGGCCATGAAACACCCTTGACACAAGTCACAATTAAATAGCAAAATTAAAAAAAATTGGACAACAACAAACATAATGAATTGTATTCCTTAATTGCTCTAATATTGTATTCCCTATATGGAGAAAATGAAGTACACATACACTGGTTCGAAAAGTTTATTCCTTTTCTTTTTATAACTTTTGTTCCTGCAGAAGCGGCCCACATCTGTCAGTACAAACCAACCAATCTCAACAAGAAACTGATTCTTTACTCCCACAGACTAAAATTAGCTACTTCACTCAAATAACCACACGGAAGAAGAACAATAAGGATCTCCTGATGATATATATATATATATATATATATATATATATATAT